ACATTGTAGATTCCAGGTGTTATTACTCCTGAGTGTCTTATCAGAGACAGCAGTGAGAGAATGTCCACAATGGATGATGGACCTTGATTTTCTAAAATCTGAAACTTCACTACACTAGACATGATGGGTGACTTCTATCAGCATTCTTCTAGCTACTACTGCTTTCTACATGGAGAACTTGAAAAAGAGGGCTACAGCACACCTAATTCAGCCCATAAACACCATATAGCTAGCTACTGAAACACATGTCAAAGCATGTGAACATAAATGGATGCACTTCTGTGGCCTTCTACTTCCAGTCCAGATGTTATAAGATTAGTAAAAGTAAAAGTTTAGGTTCACTGCATTATCCACTGACTTACTGCTTTGTATGCAAACTGTAGAAGCACTGAAATCCATGGAGAGTGTGACTGCTATAACTTATAAATCATCAGGGATGCACCGGTATGGTACTTGTTGGCCAGTGGTGATATCTAGTATTTTTCATTATATCTGTTGATGCTGATGCTGATATGTAAGCTGTGATCTCAAATGGCTCCCTTTACCCTATGTAGTGCACTATGTTGGTCATGAAATAATGGCTTCTTCACTGAAGTGGTGCACTATACGTCCAATGTAAAGACATTCATATTCAGACATAGGCTGCGCAAATCCTTATCCAACATTTAATGCACTGTTAGAGTGTAGAATACATAGCTTCATGACTTATGCAGTGTGCTATATAGAGAGTATGGAGCTTTTTGAGATTCAGCCATAAACATTTATAAAGTCTAGAAACTGGAACTACATCTGTCTGGTTTAGCATTACATCCAGCTTCACATAGACATTCTGCCTTTTCAGAGTGCAATAATTGTGATATTAAATATCACTTTGAAATACTGGTAAAAACTAAATCTGTTCACTGACAAAGTTTTTTAAAGCAATTATCTGCTGATATTGATAAGATTCGGATATAAAAATCTCTATAAATCATTATAAACAGTAAATATATGTAGACATTGAGAAAAACAAATAAAGAAAAACAGTTTTATATGTAATTGACAATAAGCTTAAATACTATTACTGCTTTACCTGCTGAAGTAGGTTACTAAATCTCTGACTCTGGCATTCCAAAATATATGCAGTTGAATCAGCACTTTCAGATTGATGCATTGCAATTTTATACTCTTACTAATTTATTCTGTAAAAAGATTGCGATTAATGTGAGTTGAGCACCTTTGTTAGCCATATTAAGTAACAACATATTACAAAACCCAAGTGGGCTATGTTATAAACTGTAAAATCATTGTTCTGTCCATTGTTATATCCTTTGATGTACAATTTATTTGTCAGGATAATACGTTTCGGTTGTAGAATTTTACCATTTTTTCCATTTTCACTCCCACGTTTCATAATATTTTGATGGATTAAACATGAAATGCTTCTTTCCAGACATCAAGGCATTTTCATATTTATGTTTCAGATACGAATGGATACAATACACAAGCGGACATGGCAAGATTCACTGTGGACAATCAACTCTTTAACTCTGGGAAAGCAGAGGATGCAGTCTTTACTGGCACTTGATCTCATTAATGGTCTGGAGATGGTATCTGCTGCTAGTGGATGGACAGTTGGGGGGTGCCCACCAATGCAAGACAGAAGCATCAGCTTCCCCCAGGTGAGGTTATTTTAAATTAAAATCTTAAGGATGAATTCTTGAAGCTTGCTGGATGACATGATGTGATACCACAACAGTAATGGCTTTGATGTTGTCATTAGATCCCACACTCTGGATATTTGTAAAGTTTATGTATTAGGAAGTTATAGAGTTTGTTCTCAGTAGATGTACCTAACTGAAAGGACTAGACTGTGAAGGTGATAATGTGCTGGCAAAATCAGTGGAGTGTTGTGACAAAAAGTTTGTGCATTGCATGGAATGTTGGGATTTATCAGACCCCTGCTGAGCTCTTTTTATGAGAGAGCTGAATTATTGATGAGTATGATCTGTGATGTGGATAAATCTTCAAAGAATTGCATTTCCATGTCAGTTACCCCATTTTTAACTGTTTCACTACCAGAAAGCAGGAGATGTACCACAGAAACATCATGAAATAACTCTGTATTACTCTGTTTTGAGGTTTTAAAATACTTTCATATTTATTTTCTAAATTATATTTCTCTAATTTATTTAGTTACAATGTTAAAAAATTTGTGAGGTTTATGAAATTCACATTTAATGTGCCATCCCTGGTTGTTTACTGGTTACGTGAAGAGCAAATAGGAAAGTGAGGCAAAATGAACATTGGAGATGTATTCGAGTTTCTTGTTTATGAGCTGTGTTTTTGGATTTGACTTTTTCAGTGAAAATCATTAGACTCCTGTCCAAAATATGGTTGGTTGATTCCATTTTGGTCCTGGAGTAGATTCAGGTGAGAACTAAAGCCTGGTAATTGAGACTAATCATTAAGAAACGTTCCACTCATGGTCTGCTTTTTTCAGATGAGCTAATCTAATAAAGACATAAAGTGAAGGAACGACACCCTACATTCCATGGATCTTTGATCTTTTCACTATAAAGGCAAAAGATTACTTGGATGATTATATCCAGGTGTTGAGTCATAACTTCTGTAGGCTCAGAGCTTGTGGAGAATTCCCTATTCTCAAGAGCCACCAAGTGTTTCAGCATTTTTAAATGTGTAATACATGAACACTTCACAGACAGCACCTACTCACTCCATATTTCATGACCTGATGACACATTTTAGCTCAGAATTAAACTTATTTTTATTTAATCCCTGCTCCCGCCAGTGATGAAGTAAACAGCTACAGATGGCATGATAGCACTTTTTGTTCTCCAGTACTGGATCAGATCAGACACAGCAGTGCTGCTGGAGTTTTTAAACACTGTCTGCTCTATTAGAAATACCTACCTTGTTGGTCCACCTTGTAGATGTAAAGTCAGAGACAGTAGCTGATCTGTGACACAGTGACACTGAGGTGTTTAAAAACTTCAGCAGCACTGTGTCTGATCCACTCGTACCAGCACAATACACAACGTACCACCACCATGTCAATGTCACTGTAGTGCTGAGAATTATCTACAACCCAAATAATACCTGCTCATATATATATTATGCAGTTAATTTAAGATCTTAAGATGAGCATCTAACATGCTCAAACTGCTCACTCTGCTACTAAGAAATATACAGCTAACAACATGACATCACCCAGTGTGAGTGAGTGGTAGTTCAGGCTAGGTTGTTTGATTGGATCAGATTCATGCTTTTTCCTTCAACATCCAATCCAGCATTGTCTGCTGATATCAGCTGAAAATGATCGGTCTCTATAAACAGTTGTGGCTATAAAATCATACATATGTCGTCCTTTACTTATTTGTGCAAAAAGAACAATTCATTTTGTCCCTGTTATGTTATACTGGCCAGGTAGATGCAGTACCACTCACACCTTTAAAATAGCTATAGGCTAACGCTAAAGGCACCATCACTTGTCTTCATATTTAACCAAAGTCCACTACTGCAAAGGCCTTTACACTGTGCTCAGCCTAATGCGGGTAACGCCTAGCTCGTCCCTCAGTCAAAACCGGTATGATTTACTAAAACGGTGAGGAAATACAGCTGGAATGGAAAAGCACACAAACCCCCTGAACACAGTGAACACAGCCTGCCTGCCTCCACTACCCTCACTCACGCTCTACGGCTGCGCTTGGTGGCTACACCGCAGGCTAATAACCGGAGCGAATTGACACTACAGGCACGTCGCTGCCTTTTTATTACAGCATCGATTAAATATATTTTAGAAGTGTGAACATTTGAGGCAAGGCTGAATTCAAAGCCCATACTCGCTTTCCTTCATATTCCCTTTTTTCTCCAGGCGGCAGTGTGATTTCTGAACGCGCGCGGCGCTACACATCGCCTGTTCTCTCACTCACTCTCTCTCTCACACACACACACACACTCACACACTGAGGCACAGGAGTGAGAGAGTGAGAGAGAGAGACTCCCATGGAAAGGTGGAGAACGGACTGTTTTCTTTGTTATTTTTAAAGTCCGAGATTCGCATCTATGAGCCGATTGGTGCGTGGCTGCGTGCGGCGCTCTTCCCGATGCACACGCAAACGGAAAGTAGGTTCTCACAGGTACAGTACGGAGCACTTTTTCTCTCCTCTCCTCTCCTCCTGGCTCGGGGAATGGGGGTTTTGCGGTAGCGAGAGATGAAATGTGCCATTAGCTTTGCGTGTGTTTGAATCCTATTCGAGGTCCACGCTGTTTTATTCGGCGTGCTTTTCGTCGACTTATGAGGCTCGGTGCGTGAGATACGGCGAGCCCGCGTTCACACGCGTTTGAACGCGCCTGATTAAGTCTGTAATAAATGTTGTAAAGTTGCCTACGAGTCGCTCGACTGCGGAAGGGCCTGGCTGCTTGTGTGTGTGTGTGTGTGTGTGAGAGAGAGAGAGAGAGAGAGTGTGTGTGTATGGAGTTTGTTTCTACTTTCCCCTCCCCCATCCGTTAGTGCTGCTGTGCTGTTGAGACTCAGAGGCCAAGACATGAATGCAATGAATGTGGGGCTCACTTCAAAGCAACGGGGAGGGTAGAGAAGGGGGTGTTGTAATGTCGTCAGGAAGGGGGAAAAAAAGAAACAACAAAGTATCAGAGTCTTTCTGAAAATGCTCCGATTGTCTCTGGCACACTTGTTCGGCAACTGGACCTGGGGATTAATGTACATGTCGAAGAAACAGGTCTTGACAACGTGTTCTCGTCGCACTCTGCCGAGAGTTGAATCAGAGCGGATCTTGTCATATCAAGTTAACGAGCTAGCCAGCTAGTTAGCCAGATTAGCAGTCTGGGCTAGTATGTGCTCGACCGCTGGCTAGACTAACGTTAGTTTTATGCGCTTGCAAAGGCATTAGCTGGCTAGCCTGCTAGCTCGCCGTTTTCCCGTTCACCGTGGACGAAACCGGTTAGCCGTGTCCTGTGACCCGTTAGGTAATGTACTTTCATTACCGTCAACGGAAATGTTCGCTGAAGGAGCCTGTTTTTAACTGATTGATGAAAGGCAGCTCGCTGGCTAGCTTGTTTTGTTTTGTGGCTAACTTAGCTAGCTACTTTAGCAAGCTGCTGAATAGAGGCTCGTGTTGGAAGTCTATTTTGGACCAACGAACGATAAAGGTAGTCACCATGCTATATGTATCTTAAAATTGCAGGCGAGCAAATAAAAACACAACAGGCTTTGTTGGAATTTGGGTGTCCAAAGTAACCTAATCAGCTAGCTTATTGAAAACATGACCACTATTGTCCTGTCTTGGACTGTCTCTGTAAGTTTTGTTCCGTAACTCGCTGGCACTTCTACCTTCGACTGTCAGAAACATCACATTTAAGAAGATACGTGCTTTGCAGCCAGACATAATATGTTAAGAGGAAAGTAACTTGGGTTGTATCATGAGAACATGATAAGAGCAGGATGACGGTGTCGCTGGAAAGCAGATATGTTGTAACTCTCTGAACTCCTGCATCACAGATCAGATAATGGGCACATTTTTTGCAGGCTTTTCTAAAGAGATCTAAACCCATATAGCAGTTTATCATCCAAGGACATGGCTGCTTCACCAGGGTCACTGCTGGAGCAGTTAGTCATAAGAGGTTTGAAGCACCCTGCAGTTTCTCAGTAGGTGACTTTGACAGTACTCCGTTCTTTAGAGAATCCTATGTGCACTGTAATTAATTCTTGTCTTTTAACGTAGGTATAAACATACCTATATACCTTAAAATGTATTATTTACCCAACCAACTGCTTACACATTTGTGTATTTTGGTCTCTGTTAACACTCAAAAAGGTAATCCCACACCTACAAGCTACTTGAAAATACACAGAACTGTAGCTGAGTTTGAGCTGAAAAGAGAAATTGCGCTTTGATATTGTAAGCACGGAATAATAATTGTTAGAAACTCAGTGCAATATGTCAGTATGACCCAGCGACTCATTTCTTATTCAAGGTTTATTGATTTATGGCCTTTTGTTTAAACTGTTGATATTAGATTTCCTGCCAATATTTGATTCTTGAAGTCTTAGTTCTCATCGTTCGGAGCAGTGCTCTGCATGGTTAAATGACTGCTTATTGAAAATACACATTGATGTTGTATCAGTCATGCACACATGAAGCAGTGTAATCTTAATGTTTAAGTCTTTTAAAATGATTTTAACAAGTTTCTTTAAAAGCATCTTGAGGTTGAATGTTTCTTTTTGTTATTCATTTTTGAGGCTTTATCTCACTGTTTTTTTTCTCCCTGTTTATTTAGGAGGAATTATTTTACAGTGGCATTAGAAGAAGTCTGGATCTAATTTTTCTGTTGAGTGGGCTGTGCTGGATTTGGGTGCATGGACATTGTGAGGATGAGTATGAACGAGAAGGGGGCTTACCTGGTGGACCTCGGGGGCAGCTTCACTGAGGATGCCCCCAGACCACCAGTGCCGGGAGAGGAGGGTGAGCTGGTGTCCAGCACTGAGCGGCATTACAGCCTGGGTTTTTACTCCATCAAATGTGAGAGCCTTAAGAACGAGGGCTCCACAGCCACACCCAGACGGCCTGACCTGGACCTGGGCTATGAGCCTGAGGGCAGCGCTTCGCCCACGCCGCCCTACCTGAAATGGGCCGAGTCGCTGCACTCGCTGTTGGACGACCAAGATGGTATCCACTTGTTCCGCACGTTCCTCAAGCAGGAGGATTGCGCCGACATGCTGGACTTCTGGTTTGCCTGCAGTGGTTTCCGTAAGTTGGAGACCAGTGAGGGCAACGAGGAGAAGAAGCTGAAGCTGGCAAAAGCTATCTACAAAAAATACATCCTGGACAACAATGGGATTGTGTCGCGACAGATCAAACCGGCCACAAAAAGCTTCATCAAGGACTGTGTGATGAAGCTGCACATCGACCCTGCCATGTTCGACCAGGCCCAGACTGAAATTCAAACCATGATGGAGGAGAACACCTACCCTTTGTTTCTAAAGTCTGACATTTATTTGGAATACACCAGGACAGGCGGGGAGAGCCCCAAGCTGTACAGTGACCAGAGCTCTGTGTCGGGGAATGGAAAGGTTCTACCGGGCTACCTACCCACGTTGAATGAGGACGAGGAGTGGAGGTGCGAGCAGGAGCCTGAGGAGCACCCCCAGAACGACCCCACGCCCAGCAACCGGCTGACACAGCAGCTCCTCTTGGAGACTGCGCCTCAACGAGTGGCCAACAGCAAGAGATACCACGATAGTCGAGAGTACAGGTAAACCCCGCTCTGTTCCACGTGCTCTGCTCTGCACAGTATATGGTTTGCTGCTTTTGCAGTACTCACGTCGCAAAAGTCACTAAGCAATCATTGAATGTTTTATTGTGTGCAGTGAGCATCCTGACCAATGACAGATGTTCTTTAAGTGTTTCAGTGAAACAAGGCGTTCACGTAATCAGACAAACAAATAATTTTAGTCGAGAATAATGCTGGCCAGGCTTTACCCATGTCACAGCAAGGGTTCACTGATGTCTTAAGTAAATTCCGAGGCATTTCTCAAGTACAGTTTGTAGCAGTATGGTTAGTTGAAATATGGTATTTTGTCAATATCATGCAGCTCTATCATCCACCCTTTCTCCCTCCACCCATTGCAGACTCTGCCTGAAGAAGCAGATGAAAAGACAGGCTGAGTGCTAGTACAGCCCTCCTGAGGAGATATGAGGTGTTCAGTGTAGGCACAAAGCTCTAAGTTCAAGCCAGCTACCTGTGACTGTGGCACCCAGGAACTGACTGGGTCACAGTGGTGGTGCTGTTGCCTGCTGTGAGCGAGTGCAGGCGGGTGCTCTTTGTGTTCTTTGCCCAGGTGTCTTATGAATGGCAGACTGTTATTCTAGAAGAAAGGTTTCCTGTAGAATAGCTCAACACATTCCCTTTTGACAGTGCAAAATGGAGAAACCTAGTTTAACGTTAGCAGGGATGAAAAGCAAAATGAAAATGCTCACCATGTCATGAGAGGAGTTAAAGCATCTTAATGCACTGACGCATGTGTTTTTGCCTTTGTCAGATTATTCGTCTATTGTATAGTATATGAGTATAGGTGTCTGTATTTCAAATGGTCATTTATGTTTCATACTTTTGTATATTACTGTACATGGGCATACCAAAGGCATTCTTGAGTGCCAGCTGTGGTGTCCCATTGTGCTTTTAGGTGAGTGGATATTACTTCAGTGTCGTGTACCTCACATCATGTAGTCTACAGAGGCAGTGATTTTAAGCTACGCTGCCAAATTTACAGCAAATCATTTGGCGCATCACAGTCTTGTGTACCTCCGTATGAGCGAAATGGGATTTAGAGATGTGACTACTTAAGACTCTAATCCTTGTCCCATTGCAGTAGAAAGCTGTATATGTGGGCTTTTGAAAAGGCTGTGAGGGGGATTACAAAGCTTTCTACCACTGATTTAAAAGCAAATATCGGCAGGTCCCCCCTCATCCAACCCCCATCACCGAAAAAATAAATAAAAAAGACATTTCTGATTTCTCGTGCTGTGTAATTTTTTTTTTTCTAGCCAAGCGAGAGCTTAAACATTAAGCAGGCATGGTGAGTTGGAGGAGGGATTTGCACAGCCTGATTTAGCCCCTGTAAAATGCTCAGGAACACATTGTGTTTTGGTCTTCTGAAGTACTCTGCTGCACTACATTCACTGTTGGCTCTCCTTCACCATATTGAGAATTGCTTCATTCTTTACCTAGAGGTTGACCCAGTTTTGTCTCAGCTGTCTGAGACAAACCTTGACATGGGTTGAGAGGATGCAGTAACCTTGTTCTGCCCAAAAGCTCAGGTCTATAGAACGTCATCTTTGGAAGTACAAAGACACGAAACGCTCCAAGGACTGCAGCAAAAAAAAAATAAAATAAAAAATATAGAGAGAGACAGTGAAAGAGAAATGAAATTGTTTCCCCTTCTCTCTTTGTCTTGAAAAGTTTGTCACAGTAACTTTTTCCTTATGTATTTTCCCAGCTGGTTACAGTCGGCAGCTGGAGCCTGTTCATTTTTTGGAAGATTGTTGTAGGGCACTTCTTTTAACAAGCCGTAACGTGACAAAATGAAAGACTTTGATATTCCTAAACCGCAGAAACACGCTCCACCCAGCTGAATGTGTCTTCCATGGCCTCTGGACTTTATGCGTTTTTAATTAGTGAGCAATGTATTTTTGAGGTTGTTTTCAGATGATTATTTCATTACGTGAAGTATTTGGCTGGAATTACAAAAAGATGCCATGTTCATTTTTAAATAGCCTTTTAGGATCACCCTTCAGGCTTTTGGTGCATCTAAATGTTGCAGTAGTCATATGTCTGTTATTCACCACTAAATAGGCCACATCTGAGTACATTGTTGTTGGTTATACAAGCTAATAGTTGAGTTTGTGGAGACTTGACTGTGCATTGGTTTCCAGTCAGTGCCTTTATGGCATAAGTAAAATTACAAAGCCAATTGCTTTTGTCAGATTTTTATATTTTAAGGTACTGGCCTGGCTGATACAATTGAATTTCTGCTAGATCAAACAAAGAATCGAACAAAAAGAAATCCTGCACATGGATACTAATGTTACAGTCAGGGGACAGGAGCTGCAGATGTTCCACTCCACTCTAGCAATACCTAGACATGTTGACACGGTGGACAGTTAAAGCAGCATTATGTGAGAATTGGTATTTTTTGCTCTTATACTCCTCCTACAGTTGCACAGTGTATTTCACTTTTACGCCACTGTTGTAAATATGCATCCCACTGTGAGCCCCCCTCACGGACAGCTGTACAACTGCGTTTGTTGACGAGCTGAAGGATACAGAGTCCGACTTCCCTTATGTGCATGCATGTTATGCAGGCTGTTGGACGCTACAGATTACACTCACAACTTCTTTTTTTTTTTGATGTGTAAATCTGTATCGTCCATGTACCTACGTGACGCCTGTGCACGCAAAGGGGGGTCGAGTTCTGTCAGTGAGACAAAATTCAGTACAACACCTGCAAAGAACATCAGACGTGAAAGGACCATGTCGCCTTACAAGGTAGAGAAAAATAACAAGATTTTATTACAGGAGACTGCAAACTTTCAAGGCTTTTTTAGCATGAGATGAGTTTATTTGCTTGCTTACCTGAAACCGAACTGAGGTTAGGTGACTTTTGGCGTCTAGAAAAACTACAAAACTCAGTGAGACAGGCATGACACAGATAAGGTTACAGCCTATGTCGTGATCTTTCATAAATAACATTGGTAGGGATATACACTCTACTGTCAGATTTTCGTTGCTTTCCCGTTAGCCATGAGACTGCCTTGTGTTGTTTTATCTCTTTTAACCCTCACCTACGAATAAAAGCCAGCCCGAGATTTACTCTTGTCCATTCTTTTGCTTGGCCTCTCTTTTTCTCTTCCTCACTTCCTCCAACAACCTCTTCCTCAGTCTCTTCGCAGCCTCTGCAATGATGTCCATGCTGGGAATACTGAGCAGCTTCTTAAAGCTAGCTGAAGAGCCATAGTTGTTGGTGTGTGACGGTGCCAGAAAGTGTTACGCAGTACTTGCAAGAGGTTTCGTGCCCGCTCCTCCAAAGTTACATAGTGCTATAGCAGGCGTTCCAGGCCCGGAGTGACAATGACAGGGACGCCATTCTCCCTATTATAAATCATTGTACCATCATAATGATTTTCATGCTGTTATTTTAAGGTAAATTTGTTACATTATGTTGCTTTAATTGCAGATTATTTTGATAACTGTCTGTACCTTGGGGAGTAAGCAGTTCTCAAAATATGGGGTACTTTTGAGTACATTCCTCAACCCTCGTGCCTTATGACATTGACAATTATGAAGACTCAAAACGCGTATTGTTGGTTGTTTTTTTTTTAATACTGTTTTAGGGAAATTAATAGTTTTGTAGGCCTGTTGAACGTTTCTGAACGTTTCTGGACGTCAGGAAGGTGCAGTTGTAAGTTGGCTGTGCGCTCAGTTGTTTAGTCTTTACCTATCTCTAGCTGGACTCAATCAACCTTTGCGTGCTCCTTTTGATATTACTTGACCTGTGCAGTAATTGCCGGCCTTTTGAGGTAATGTAATGAGTAACCTGAAAGCCGGCCTCGTGCCTTTACCTGTGCTCTAGTACACAGAGTCTCATCTTTGATAAATCAATCAGTGGGAGCTCTAGGGGCGCCAGCAGTCAGATGTAAAATGGGATGACAAAGAGATGGTAATTATTCTCTCAGTGTGAGGAGTTGACTAAATCGGTGGAACAGGAATGCAGCCTGTACCTGGGTAATGGGTTCTCTCAAACGCACTTCGAGCTTTTCTCCCGAGCTCACCGTGGTGTTGGGCGGTGGTCTGGGGATTTTTAACTGGTAACGGGGTGCTGGGGAAGCCAGTTCAAACTTAACGTGCCAGTTCTGTACCAGCGCTTCCCTCAGATGGTTCATTTTGAACTGAGTTCGCCATAATTGTAAAAGAGAAAATAATTGATTTTATGTGAAATCACAGTAATAATACAGAGCCTCCTTGTACCCCCTTGTCTGTGTTTTTTTATGAGCTGCTGTTTGGTGAGGAATCAAATGGAGTGGCAAGTGGAGTGATAGTGGGGAAGGCAGGGGAGCGTCTCTCCTCAGGCTCTTGGCTCTCTGTGATACTGTGAATATTGACATGCCTGCTGCTCGAATCATTAGAAGGCTGAGGATGGGCTGAAAGCTGGGAATAATCACTGGAGGCTGCAGTAAACCCAGGTCTGCCTCTCTCTCTCTTCCTCTTTCTTCTTCTTTCTCTCCTCTCAGCCTTAGGACACGGCTCATAACAAATTCCTTCAATGTAATGTCTGTAGTTCACACAGCATGCTGCACTGCGATGGATACGTGGTCTCACATCACAGATCAATAAAAGATGGCGCACCAAAAGACATGGGACATTCCATACTGAGCCACCTGAAGAGAGGAGGTTTCATCGTTAATCATCACTGTTAGAGGAGCCATGCAATCAGGGCCTACCTAATTATATAATGCATGCTGTATTAGGTTGTGAATATTCCTTTCTGAAGTAAATGTAGGCCTAAATATGGAACAACTGAAGCCAGATATTTGGATTTCATTTTAAGTTCATGAATTTGAAGTGTTATTATAGTATTGTTTGATTAGCACTTCAAGTCTCATCTGCCTTAGTTTGTTAACAAAGTGCATGGTTAATTTTAATAGATGTGGCCTTGTGTTATTGATGTTATTCAGGGCTTCTCTTTCACTATTGAAATATTGGACTGCTAGGTTGAGTGATTATCCAGTCTTTGAAAGGTTGCAGAAATCAACTTTTCCACTGCACTACTGCATTCCATTCTGTAGCAGACAACAGCACACTTCATATTAAATTCTGATAGATCACACCAATCCCTGTTGTCAGTGCTGTGAGCATGCTGAATGACTGCTTTTAGATGCTCTTAATATGTCTTGTAAGCTCTCTGGTCAATATCAAGCCACCTGAGTATGTGATTACGGTAACTGTACAGGCATTCACCGGTTCTCCTTTTCAGTGATTGAAATTCTTAATAACAAAAGTCATCAGTAACATATACACGCTACAACACTCGCGTAGGAGACCCAGTTCGCTGACAACTGTAAATATGTTGGAAATGTAGCAGTAGGTCTTTTTCTGCCATTAGGGTTTCTAGAATAGCACTTGTGACATGAAAATAGTACTACATCCAGTAGTACATACACTTTAATCAAAGCCTGGTGACCAGTACAGTCATATGTACCAAATGCCTGCCCCCGCATCACCATGAAGCTTGGAAATCATCTTCACACCTTTGTCATTTTGCAACTCTTTTAGTGCAAGCAGTGGAAATATTTAGTAGTGCAATTGCATTGTAATATTTTTGTCTGTATTATGCAGCCCCTATTCTCTTGTACTGAACCTAGTTCTTCTGTGTATCATTAACTAGTCTAAGGATTGCTCATTCATCTTTATCTCTATTATTAGTTGAAACACAAGGGAAAGAACAGTGAACTTTTTGTTCTTTTTTTTCTGCATGTCCCTTGAGCCCTAGTTAATCTGTATGAATTGGCTCAACGTGAACATCCATTGGTGCTTTTTGATATCTGTTCAGTACGTGAATGATTAACAAATACCAGTGCACCTTTTTGTGGCATTGTAGACTAATTGTTTAGGTTGCTTTAATGAGCATTGATGAAACCACACTTGTCAGTGTAATATATTTGGACAGCTGAATGCTTTCTGACTGGAAGTCTTGAAATCTGTGATAATGGTTTGTGTCAGAAATGAGTTAAGCTGAACTAATTGCACTCCAACAAGATTATTTTGAAAAGGCAAAGTATTGACTTCATTTGAAACTGCTTTTTATTGTTGATGACTGTAATGTTGTAGACTCTGATTATTCTTCTGTTGTCCTGTCCATAGGCATGCGCCATGGAGGGAGCCTTTCAACCCATACTACGTCAACACAGGGTACGCTCTGGCCCCCGCTACCAGCGCCAACGACAGTGAGCAGCAGAGCATGTCCAGTGATGCCGACACCCTCTCTCTGACAGACAGCAGTGTGTACGTACACACAAACACTCACCTCACTGGCACCAGCAGATGTGTAGTCATCCTCGTGCAAACATGAGTGCGTGAGACATCGCACAATTCACAGGAACGACACCCTTGTGTTATCACCGCCTTATCATCAAGTTGCACGTTAACATGATTCCCTAGTCAAATCAGCTGGACTTCCCTTGCCCTCAAAGCAAGTTTGCCAGCAGTGCTGCAGAGCCATAAATGTATTAACGAGCGACAAGGAGGACAATGCCCTCTCATCATAGCAGAACATTTCCTCTTCGGAGTGTTTGAAGCCGAGTTGGCAGCTGCGATTGACGGCTGATCTCTAAGCAGCTTCTTCTGCACGCGGTTCAGAGGCGCCTCCCCCCTGCACTGCTGTGGGACCAGGAGCAAATCGTCCCTCCTCTGAGGCGGCCCATCTGCTCATTACCCGCCCTACCAAAAGCCTCGAAATGTCATTACTTATGCTAATTATAGAGCCTCCGATTGGGCTGTACCCGGGGCCTGCAGGCTATAATTTGAAGGCATCGACTTTTGTTTCCCTTCAAATTAGCTTGCCCCGAACTCAAAGGGACTGGCCCCCGCGTTGTACGTAACATGGCAGATTCCTGAAAGGACAGGAAATGAAATATTGAAAGCAAATAAGACCTTGAAAATGAAGCCCCTTGTGTTAGATTAAAGCATGCCTTGGCCAAAGCAGTAATCAAATTTGTTCTCTTCATTTCACAGCTCCAGAAAGATATTGACCACATGCAATTATATTAACTAGCTGAGAGGCAGCTGTATCACTGTTTGTAAGGTGAGGGAAGAAAAGCGATATTAAGAGGTTAATTTCCGTTTTCAGTTACCGTCTATGCTGTAACTTAATTACTTGCCTTCTTCCCTTGTATCAGCCAACTTGTCTGTAGTGCTCGGCCTATTCTTACGTTCACGCGGCCCTGCTGCTGAACACATGCTGTCATTTAGTGCGAAGGCTCCTCTTTCTTCCTTCTCTGCAGGAAGTGCATTTCCTTTTAGGGAGGTGAACGAGGACATGGTGGCCTGGGGAAAAGCAGCCAGGGAGCGAGACAGAGACACAGGGAGCGTGCTAAGTTCAGTGATGGCACTGGGGAATCATGTTTAAAGAAACATGAAAGGCAGCGCAGCAGGACAAAAACATGTGTCTGAAGTGGTCTAGATTAGAGGCCATTATCAGCAGCAAGCCCCTGGTGGAGGGTGGTGGGCACAGCGGGACTGGCGGAGCCCCAGGGGGATGAAAGCCTCCCTGGGGCCCCAGCAGAGAGGGACCCTGAACTACCACCGCTACTGCCTTAGCAATTCAGACAGGCATGCGCCCACAGTCTGTGAAACAACAGGAAAAAATCATTCCGATTCTACTTTGTACGCGCCTGTTGAATTTAAATGAAGCGGCCCTGTTCGTGCCACAGCGCTGATATCCTGATCACAGTGTGATGCATTAAAATATGTATAGACATACACAATGTAGCTTTGCTTTTACATTTGATCTTTAAACGCATAAAGGTTGAAGGGATGATGTTGCATCTTTGGTCAGTGGTTTTATATTTGCTCTGCTTCTAGAAGAGGAAAGTACATCCTATATATTGTGCACATAATTTATAAGGGCTGCTTACTATTGCCAGATGTGCATAAAGTATCAGATTAGCATCAGATGTATTGTATGTTAATGTTTCTTGTTTACTACATAAATATTCAGTTTATAATGTTAATTCTTTTCTTAATTTTTTTTCTCCCATCAGAGATGGTGTCCCACCTTATAGATATCGTAAACAGTCTCGACGCGAGATGCACGAAAGTGCCAAAGCTAATGGGCGAGTGCCACTACCTCATATTCCTGTAAGTATCCTTTAAACAACATCTTGTTGACTCTCTGCACACTGCAGCCTTTTTTTTTCTCTGCCTTCCCCTCTCTCTCGCTCTCTCTCCCACAAACACCTCTTTCCTCTTCTTTTTTGTGTCTGTACCTCTCTGTCTATCATCTGTGGGCTTTTTTTTGTCATTCTCCTTTCTCTCTTCTCCGTGCCTCCTCGCTCTCACTCTCCCCTGAAATGAATGTGCATTCTTAAGATGCACAGCGGTGGCTGGGGGGCCTTTGATCATGTGCTGGCGAATAGCTGATGGAGTGAGAGAATGTGTGTGTGTGTATGTGTGTGCTGTCTGAAGCGTTCCTGATGTTCTCTTCAGCTCTGCCTGCCCATGCCCAGCAGACGTGAAGGCTCTCCTCTGATGGCTGGGCTTCCCCGCTGCACTGACTGCAGCATAATTGGAGCCTCTGAGATGGAGCCCAATTTAACCGAGCAAACCCGCGCTTCCCTCCACCAGGGGCTTTCACTCAACATATAGAGAATCGAGAGAGCGGGGAAACGTACACTTCCAGTTTAATGCAGAGGAGTAAACATGGGTGCACCGTTCAGAATGGAGCATCGGCTTCGATTTCAAATGTTGTGTCCTATGTTAAGTTAAAGCTCTTGTCAAGAATTTTAAAAGCAGTGACACAACCAGCCCAGCACTACACAGTAAATGTAAGCACTGTACATCTAAAAACGTTTTTTGTGTGCGTGTTTCGGTTCAGTTCTGTAGGGGCTATGCAAGAGAATGCAAGGAAATACTGTCATGAAAAAAGCAGCACTCTCTCTGAATAACAGCAGCAGAACATACAGTGGCGCGATCTTTTTAATTAAGTATGGACCGATTTAATTAAGCCTAGACTAAAAAGACCTTGTGCTTTTTGAGAAATGCACTGTATGTAGAATAATCAAAGTGTTTTGATCCTTTTCTTCTGTACTTACATACAGCTGTACAACTGCCTCTGTTGTGTGCTTATCCAAACTTTGGGGAGCTAAATAATTAAAAAAAAAAAAAAATACAAAATGTAAATACAACAAATGTGAATTAGTTTATGGATGAATATGGATGGATGTAGCATGAGAGCCACACCAGCTAGGACTTTGCAGAGGCAGACCTAATACAAGAAGATAAACTGTGGCAGATGGCATGTTATTTAATGACCCTTATGTAATTTTCAGACTTTTTATGAAGTTCATACCTCAGTTATCAAAGGGACATACTGTGCATTTTTTTGAGTTATGTTACCTTGTTCTGAAAACAATGCACTAATTTAGTTTCTTGTTCACTGAAGCACATATTAGAGCTTGCTGAGTCTTAGTTGCTCCAATACTAGCTCTGGGTTTTCTAACAAAGCATATAGTAAACATACATACTGTGCTTTTTATTAATGTATTGTTTGCAGTACTGCATAAAACAACCTGCCAGTTGTCTAAATTTCTGACAAGGGCATTAAGGACAGCATATTGTCTTCCACTTTTGATGCTTTGAGGCTAGTGCATTCCATTCTTCTGGCGATTTACCATGCTTTGTCTCACAAAGAGAGAGAAAGAAGAGGAAAAATGCTTTTATTCTTGAAGGGTGGTCTGCAGCAGTGAAGCACAGTCAGTAGCCACAACATCTTGTCAAGGCTTGACAGATACTGCTGCTTCACTGGGCACGCAGCCATATGGGCCGGGGAGGAGACTGATGAATCTAAAGTGAGCCGAGACTCTGAACAAAGAGAGCTGAAATGGAGAGTCCAGATCAGATTTGACCCTGTAATCAAAATTTTAAGGGCTCCTGTAAGGTTTTGCTGGATGCTGGCCAGGGGCTGCCTGAGACTTGTTGATTCATCCTTCTACCCCCTCCCCCATGTCCTTCTCTTCCAGATTTCTGGAATAATACATTTCCTGGACTTGTGTTGTTTGGAATCCCTCTGGTATGAAGGCAGAAAATAGTACAACGTAGGCCTTTGATCTGAATTTACCACTCTCTTGTGACATATAATCTTCTCTGATCAAGAGCGATTATGGTCGTCTGCTGGTCAGCATCAGCGGGTTCTCTATGATATAGCGTAGTTCACTTTGCTGTGTGCAAGCTAGAACGTATGGCTTCAAAATTGGGTACCGCAGAGTTGTCTTGACACAGTCTCACCAGACTTAAGTACTTGGTTCTCTGTTATTTTGACCCTTTGAGCTCAACCTTGAACTGAGATTATCAAAGTAGGGCACTGTTATTTGCGTTACATGCGTTGTGCGAGCCTCACTAGTAGTTGGTTTTGTGTGTTCCTTTTCTAATCATTGGGTTAATTCCTTTTCACATTCCTGCCTCTTTGTCTGCACCCCTCAGCTTGCAGCAGCATCTGCCAGATGTAGCCTTGTCTTGCGTTTTTTGAACAATGAATGTCAGATACTAGTGTATTACCCTTTAGTTCTGATTGGCTTTGTTTCTGTGTAGCGCACAAACCGGATGCCAAAGGATATCCACGTGGAGCCAGAGAAGTTTGCAGCCGAGCTGATCAGCCGGTTGGAGGCGGTGCTGAGGGAGCGTGAAGCGCAGGAGAAACTGGAGGAGCGTCTCAAGAGAGTCCGGCTGGTGAGTACGCTTCTAAAACACCACAGTCCTGTCTTTCTTTTCACCACCTTAGTACACATACAGTACAAGGATACTCTAATGTTTGACGTCTAAACTTATTTTCTTTGTCTGACAACTGTGTTCAAGAAACTAAAGAAAAAAGCCAGCTTGAGAATAGTCTGGTGTTGGATCATGATGATCCCCAGACAGTTCTTTTTGAGGGAGGCCGTGGGATGCGCTGCAAGGAGGCTTATCAGACGTCCCACTTCGTTTCTGTTGTTTCTTTGTCTTCAGTGTCAGGTGAAACACCTGCGGAGGCTGAGCCACTCGCTAGTCTGCCTCTGTGTAATGACTTTGTTTGAAGTGAGCTGGGGCGTGAAGAAATGCCGGCACTCTCCGCAAATGGGAATCTTTTCCCCCACACAAAGCCAGGTGTTAAGTCTCAAGGCAGATAATTTGTGTAGTTTGGCCTCCTGTAAGAGGAACTGCCGTCACGGACCAGTAGCTCTCCGTTATTAAGAGCTTGAAGTTGGAATGTCATTGTCTTTTAATTGATATTCTCACCGCTTGCTGCCTTCCTCCGAGATTAGCACAGAGTTCTGTGCTTTCAGGAAAGAAGCCTCCCGAACTCATTTCAACTCGTCTTTCCCATCAGCAGCGCTTAACAAGTCTGTTGCTTCCTGGTTTCTCCCCACTGAGCTGAGACTGAATACATTTCGCCTGCTTTATTTGTATCTGCATGCCTTTGACACTGAACATAGTGTTTGACAGCGTTATCAGTAGCTTAGATTATGAGCTTTTAAAATTGATGATCACCTGCTCTGGTTTCACTGGCATGTGTCAAAAATGCAGCATTATTAACATACAGATCAAACTTTGCCATGGTAATTACAGCATCCAATTCTTAGAGGTTCTGCAAACCACCAACTCGTTGGTTTGCGCATTGCGGTATATTCATGCTGGCCCACCTCTTCTCCCGTTTATTTGGCATGAGCGATGTAATTTGGAGCATAGAGCGATGACCTGCACAGCTGTTTAGTGGATTTGCATGTGCCAGGTCTTCAGAAAAAGTCTGCTGCTACCTCCTCGGGTTCCACTACCTGGAGAGAGCATCAAAGTGCCGTAGCCATAAATTATTCGCTGCTGTTCGCCACTGAATCCAATATCAAATTGCTATCAAAAGGTGGGCTGAGCAAGCTTTGCAGTGAGAGGCCTCACTTGGGGGCTCAAACTGCCTCTGTTTGGGGGATCAGGGAGTGGAATACATTAAGAGCGAGGCTCAGTCTGCTTCATATTGATGTCTGTGTCTTAATGGGTTCTGTATTTAGGGTTCTATTGGACCACTCAGTATAAACTGCATGGCTGTAAAAATGTGGTAATATTTTTGTGCAGGTATGATAAAAGACAAATGACCATTATTAACATTGTGTCAGCAAAGACGTGTTGATAATAAGTTGACCTATTCAAACATGTATAAGGATGACATCTGGTGGTGTCATTCTGTAATAACACTCAAAGGCTGTTAAGTAGTAAACCGATCATGTGTTAAGATCTTAACATCCACTCCAAGGACTGGCCCTGTAATTTGTCCTTAAGTAAGCAGTTCAATGAAAAAATCTAATTTTCATAATTTGTAACATGTAACGGGTAAAGGTACAGGCAAAGTCCTGGCTTTAAGGTGGTTGCTTCTATTGGTTTTAGTTTTTTTTTAATATGTAAATAGATAACAAAAGCAAGTACTTCAGCAAGTATGTTTTTTTTTTTTTTTTTTTAACACGTCAGAGTGTATGATACACAGTTTGCAAGATGCCAATAGGCTTATATCGTATCTAATTGTGTAAATTGTTATTTTAAAATCCAACTCACTGTGTATCTTCCACTCAGTGTAGGTCATAGGATACTGACAGCATCTGTAGCTAACTGTCCTTGACCCTTTGCAGGAAGAGGAGGGTGATGATGCAGACATTTCCACAGCACCGTCGCTAGCCAGCCACAGACTGCCACCTGCTGTCCATGTGCAGCACTACGCTGCACGCTACTCAGACGTGAGCTACAATGGGCTTGCGCTACGTGACGCTCACGAGGAGAACCCTGAGAGTATCCTGGATGAGCATGTGCAGCGCGTCATGAAGACGCCAGGCTGTCAGTCACCAGGCACGGGTCGCCACTCACCCAAGTCGCGCTCGCCAGACGGCCTGCCCTCAGCCAAGATGCCAGGGTTGCCGATGCCGCTGGCAGGAGGCCAGGGCAAGCACCAGGCGCGGCTCGGGCTCAAGAATGAGACGTCGCATGTTTACCACCACAAACACGTGCACCACCCACATCACACCATGGGCAGCAAGCCGAAAGAGCAGACAGAATCAGAGGCTGCAATGAGAGCCCATGGCGGCTTTGCCTGGAACATGGAGCAGCACCACTACGGATCCAAGATGCGTAATTACGCTGACGGAATGGGCGCTGGCCCCAGTGCTATAGACCCTATGGGTTACGGGTATGTTCTCAGAAGCTTCAGTTAAAATTAAAAACTGTTTTGCCTAAAATGTTGTTTGAACAAACCATGCTAATGTGTGATGGGCCTAAAAACATATATCGCAGCATCACTGTTAACCAGATTATTTTTGGCTGAACTATCGTTTTTAAAACTTGTGGGTTGATATATTGACAATTTATATATACAGTGGGGTGCGAAAGTTTGGGCAGCCTTGTTAATTTTCCTGATTTACCTTTATAAATCATTGATTGTTTGGATAAAAAAACTCTGTGAAATATATCATATAGGGGACAAACACAGTGATATTTGAGAAGTGAAATGAAGTTTATATGATTTACAGAAAGTGTGCAATAATTGGTTAAACAAAAGTAGGCAGGTGCATAAATTTGGGCACTGTTGTCATTTTATTGATTTCAAAACCTTTAGAACTAATTATTGGAACTCAAATTTGGTTTGGTAAGTTCAGTGACCCTTGACCTCCATACACAGGTGACTCCAATTATGAGAAAGGGTATTTAAGGGGGGCAATTGTAAGTTTTTCTCCTCTTTGCGTCTTCTCTGAAGAGTCGCAGCATGGGAGTCTCAAAACAACTTTCAAATGACCTGAAAACAAAGATTGTTCACCGTCATGGTTTAGGGGAAGGATACAGAAAGCTATCTCAGAGATTTCAGCTTTCAGTCTCCACTGTGAGAAACATTGTGAGAAAATGGAAGACCACAGGCACAGTTCAAGTCAAGGCTCGAAGTGGCAGACCAAGAAAAATCTCGAATAAACAGAAGCGAAGGATGTTGAGAACAGTCAGAGTCAACCCACAGACCAGCACCAAAGACCTACAACATGATCTTGCTGCTGATGGAGTCGCTGTGCATCGTTCAACTATTCGGCGCACTTTACACAAGGAGATGCTGTATGGGAGAGTGATGCAGAGGAAGCCTTTTCTCCGCCCACATCACAAACAGAGCTGCCTGAGGTATGCTAAAGCACATTTGGACAAGCCAGCTTCATTTTGGAATAAGGTGCTGTGGACTGATGAACCTAAAATAGAGTTATTTGGGCATAATAAGGGTCGTTATGCATGGAGGAAAAAGAACACAGCACTCCAAGAAAAACACCTGCTACCTACAGTAAAATTTGGTGGTGGTTCCATCATGCTGTGGGGCTGTGTGGCCAGTACAGGGACTGGGAATCTTGTTAAAGTTGAGGGACGCATGGATTCCAATCAATATCAGCAGATTCTGGAGATCAACGTCCAGGAATCAGTGACAAAGCTGAAGCTGCGCCGGGGCTGGATCTTCCAACAAGACAACGACCCTAAACACTGCTCAAAATCTACTAAGGTATTCATGCAGAGGAACAAGTACAACGTTCTGGAATGGCCATCTCAGTCCCCAGACCTGAATATTATTGAAAATCTGTGATGTCACTTAAAGAGAGCTGTCCATGCCCGGAAACCATCAAACCTGAATGAACTAGAGATGTTTTGTAAAGAAGAATGGTCTAAAATACCTTCAGCCACAATCCAGACTCTCATTAGAAGCTATAGGAAGCGTTTAGAGGCTGTTATTTCTGCGAAAGGAGGATCTACTAAATATTGAGTTAAGTTTTTTTTTTTGGTGCCCAAATTTATGCACCTGCCTAATTTTGTTTAGACAATTATTGCACACTTTCTGTAATTCATATAAACTTCGTTTCACTTCTCAAGTATCACTGTGTTTGTCCCCTATATGATATATTTAATGGAATTTTTTTATCCAAACAATCAATGATTTATAAAGGTAAATCAGGAAAATTAACAAGGCTGCCCAAACTTTTGCACCCCACTGTACGTTCAAATATTGACAACTTTACTGTTTACTTTAGCAGCAAAGGTGGCACCCTATCAAAGCGAACATTCAAGAAAGGAGAGGACATGCGGAACTATGAGATGCGAGAAACTGTGCCTTCAGAGGAGCTGGACAGAAACCAGAAGATCCTGCAGTGGATGATGGAGGGAGAGAAGGAGGCGGGCCGCTACAAGAAGAGTCCCTATGGGTAAGTGTTACTGGTTGTCTTAGAGTGACCCTTAGCTACCCACATGGATGTACGTAATATTTCTGTAACTATTTCTTAAGTTTTCACATAATAATTAAATAGTCACCATTTCATAGAATTGAACTTGTGTAGTAGTTCTGCAGTGACCTACCAGACTTCTTGTCCGGTGCCACAGTGTTCAGTCCAGTCCTTGATTACATTATAGCAGTCCATAATTTATGTTTCACCTTCGGTCAAACCTGAACCAGTAAATGGAAGTTGTCAAGATGGTTGTTACCTGATTGTAGAGTATATATTGCACAAGGGCTCTGAAAATCTGTTTTTTGCATCAACTCAGAAGGTGTTCTGTGGGAAAGTAATATGATCAGATGTCATTGTAATGGAAAATTGTCACAATGTGCTATTCTAAGCATGTGACAGGTATGGTCAGTAGTTCTAGACAATGGTGATGTGTGTTTCTTTAAAAAAAACAAACAAAAAAAACAACAACTTTGCAGCAGTGTTGACCTATCAGATTTAAACTGTATAGTAGCTGATGCGAAGTTGGAAGCTTTTTTAATACTATCTGTTCCTCAGGAGCATCTCAGGCTCTAAGAAGGGCCAGGGCCATGAGCCAGGTAGGCCCGCTTCTGTGGAGCGACCGGGGGCTGTACACCCATGGGTGAGCACGCAACTCCGCAACAACGTGCTGCCCTCGCATCCATTCATCCAGGACCCCACCATGCCTCCCAACCCAGCCCCCAACCCTCTCACACAGCTAGAGGAGGCTCGCAGACGGCTTGAGGAGGAGAAAAAGAAATCCGGAACCCTGCAGACCAAGCAAAGGTAAGTTTGCTTTGTCTTTCTAAGGAACAGAACCGCCAAGTCAGTTCCTCCTTCAGGCATGAGCTAGTGTTTGATGCTTGTTGTGCTCTTTTTCTCAGTAGGTTATAGGAAGTGTGTGGTTCAGAGTTTTTGTTGAGCCTTGTATTATAAGTGTCAAAGCAAAATGACAAAGTTACAGTCCTGACTTGATGCATAGCAGCATGCGCACAGTGTGAGGCTGGCTTTCGTCCTCTTTTGTTTAATCCCTCTGAGAGGTTATCCCTCCCTTGCATAAGTGTAGCTGGATGCGGTTTAGGGTGAGAGCAGGCAGCTGATCTAATTCGGGAGTTGTTTCTCAGGTATGTGATGGAGGTGATCCAGAGGGGGCGCACAGCCATCCGACCTGCCACGTTCCCCCCACTCAGCATGGTGCCCGCCGTCTCTGACACGGAGCTCTCCGAGGCAGAGTATGTTCTGTTGGCCGCGTGTACCATTCCCTCCCCCATCTACCCCCATAGAGTTCAGCATCCACCTCTCTTTTCCCATCCACTGCTGAAAGTGTACATTTCTAGGGATGCAACGATATAGAATTTTTGGGCGATAATAGTAACCAATTATTATGACATTCTTTTGGCCAACACAATACTGCTTTTACCGGTTTTCCCATTTTAACTGTTTCACACTGTAACTTCATATACAAAGTTCAGTGAGCATCAAGACGGGGTAAAACTCTAACTGTCAAGTATGTTCTAGATGCAATTCTTTTCTCCTGCTGAAACCTAGCATAACGTCCACAGGGATGACATTTTTACTCTACAGCATTAGGGCATGACCGTGCAGCAGTGTGTGTGCAAGCGAACATTGGACACCGAGCTGTTGGTTGTAATTATTGGCTGTAATTCCAGTAATGGTACTGATTGTAATTTCCTTTGTTGTTGTTGAATAACACATCAACCACTGATATATCGTGCACCCCTACCATTTCCTCGGCTAGGCTATGCAGCATGTGTGCCCATGTAGCCTACTAACACTCCACCTTGTTCATGCTCACAGCTTCACTCCTTTTCCCTCCTCATGTAGTTCTAAACTGTGTGGTATAGTTGAAGTGGTAGATAGTAAGTAGGTACAATCTCAGTTGTCCATCAATCAGTCTGTTCAATCTGTTCTCACTTAACATTAGTTGGAGATGCACCCATACGATGTTGATCAGTGGAAGTGGGACCTTTTTGATGTGTGCTGTCTTGAGTTTGAGTTCCTGTGAGGAAGCCTTGCTCTCTTTGAAGCTCTAATGCCTCTTCCTCATGTAGATAGGCAGTTAGTCATATAAGGGTACATCAAAGTTTTACTGAGGAGGAGATGAAAGCAGCAGTCGATTGTGATTATATATATATATTTTCTCTTGGAGAAGTGTGGGGCATGTGACAGGCTGCTGAAACTGAGAGCTACAAGGAGGCCTGCACACACCCACTCATCCGCCTGGGTTTCTCAAGCATCACACACTGGGCCTGTGATGGACAAATACTTTGGTTTAATGGTCCCCAAGTCGCATCCTACGCTGGCATCTCGTTGTTCATACCATCGTAGCCTGCCTGACAGCAACAAACCAAGATCTTTTGGAAGGGTGTTTTTCCCTTGAAAAGATTGCTTTGCGGTCTGTGCAGGGTTTTTCTTTTATGTCAGTAATGCTTTGATCACACTGAGTTTTTCCTTCTGTTGTGCAGACACAAGGCGGTGAAAAAGCAACCATGTGAGAACATCACTGTGGCCTATTACTTCTGTGGCGAGCCCATCCCATACAGAACTTCAGTAAAAGGGAGGATTGTCACGCTGGGACAGTTCAAGGAGCTGCTTACCAAGAAAGGGAGCTATAGGTAAAACACTGTTCATTTTCTGCCTTTTTTAATCGGCTGTGCTTACTGTTGATAGTGTCTTGCCTTTTAGTGATTAAGAAAAGTAAATATGATAATGTATTATTTGCATAATGTCTATTGAATGATACCTGGAAAAAGTTTTTGTACCCTTTTCAGCATGTATACAGTGTTAAATATGTGTCAGATATGTAGTCACTATTGTTTGTAAGCAGAAGGGCTTTTCACAGGGGACAGTCTACAAATTCTTAACCGAATCTAACCAGTATTATAAAGAGAAAATGATATCTTTGTAATGTGTCGCTGATTTATGGTTTATGTCACGTCACAGGTATTATTTCAAAAAGGTGAGTGATGAGTTTGACTGTGGAGTGGTATTCGAGGAGGTACGCGAGGATGACGCTATTCTGCCCATCTTTGAGGAAAAGATCATCGGCAAAGTGGAGAAGATCGACTGAGACTGAAAGGGGAGGTGATGGAGGAGAGGGAAGAGGAGGAACAGTAGGGGCACTGGTGCCGTTTAGGAGGAGCTGCTCAGCAGCTGGAAAGAGAGAGCGAAGAGGAGGTGCTGAGAGATGGTACTGGGTACGTGTATCTGCTGGAGGTGGCGAGAAAGAGCGAGAGAGAGAAAGAAAAGGCAAGCAAGAGAGGGAGAGGATGGATGAGTGGGAGCACTATGGGAAGCACGCTATTGACTCCAAGGCTTCTACCTCCGCACTAAAGCCTTTTCTAGTCCCACACAGCTGCCCTGTGCTACCGGTCACCACGACATTCAGAGAGCCTTCGGACTTTATAAAGGAGCAAGGCCACATACTCTCACTCTTTTTTTGGTATATTTCTAACTTTGACATGTAATGTAGCAATGTAAAGTTTGACTAGAATAAAAAAGAATTACTATGAAATATGTTTACTAAAGTATCACATATTTTTGATATGACGTATCAGAAGGAAGGTATCCTTTCTAATGTAACATCTCTTGTAATTTTATATGTACTGGTACCAGATGTGTACAGACTGTCTGTTTAAAACAAGAAAAAAGAGAAAAAGTTTTATATCTATTTAAATATTTAAATGAAAAAAGCTATTGGTTTAATCTTAAAGCTGTGGCACAGATCCAGTTTAAGAATATCGCAGTTTTCATAAAGTTCTTTTGCGCAGGTGGCCTGATGAAAACTATGAACCATAGCCCGTGCTCTACCAAGTGCTTTTAATCCTTAAACGCAATCTTATCAGTTCTCCACTCGGAGTGGCACCGGCTCGTGCCGCTCTTTCACCGCGTTATGCATTGATCTCAGAGGGGAAGGGAAAATCTAAAGATGTTCTTGAATGGTCATGCCGTTAAGAGGGTTGTAGTCTGACCTGTGACTTTCTGTGCATCTTGATTAATGTCTCATGGTTTTTTTTTTACCTACAGCTGCTGCCCATAAAACTGAATATGTTCCGTCATATGCAAAAGTTTGGGCGCCCTGGTCAAATGACATGTTTATTTTTTTATTTTTTTATTTTTTATTTTATTTTTTTATTTTTATTTTTTTTTTAAGTGAACCTAAGTACACATCCTCTACAGAGAGCACGCTTCTGTACATTTAAGACTCGGTTACTATTTAATTGTTAAATTTAACATACTGGAAAAAATAAAACCTAAAATGAAACCAGTGCAAAAGTTATGATGTATCTTATATGTTATGTTTATTTTTTCCAGCATGATAAACTGAGCAAATAAATACAAATTGTGACTAAAATTGTGAGAAAAATGTCATACTTAAGTTTGTTCCTTGTAAAACAGGGATACCCAATCCTGGTCCCAGAGATTTACCATCCTGGAGAGTTTTGTCTTAGCAAATCTTCAAATATTCAGATGCCCCTGAAGGCCTTCATTGCCTGGAACAAGTGTGATAGATTATGGTAGGAGCAGAACTCTGCAGGATGGTGGATCTCCAGGATGAGGGTTGGGCACCCCTTGTTGTAGAGGACGTATTAACTAATTTTCACTTAGAAAATCAGCAGAACGTAATTTGAAAGGGAGTGATCAAACTTTGCATATGACAGTATTAATAATCCCCTTTTCATCTAGCCTGCAGCATGCAGACGGGACCTAAGAATGCTTCTATCAGGCATTAGTTATGTAAAAATAAAAAAACAAAAAAACAAAATGTAAGACGTACTTGTAACCTTACGCTAAATAGCACATCAGCAATTTGTAACAAAACTATTTTTATAGGTATTAAATATCAAAAATCAGCATTTTGGGGGGGATATGGACAGGTGTACTCTGTTGCTGTCTAAGTGCTTGCATCAGTTTCATATCAGATTGTGTTAGCGTGGGTGGGAAGGGAATCTGTTGGGTCAGTGGGGGCTTCCGTAAGTGAATGTGTGTCTAATGGATAAAAAGGTGAGGGCTGTGTGGCCTATAAAACGATCATGTTTACACTTACCTTAATGTATTACAAAAAGAGAACCGAATAACGAATTGTAGCTTTTTTAGCTTAATGCGGCTGAATTTGGTGCCTGGCAGGAATGGATTTCGTTTCAGAAAATGTAACGTAACTCTAGCATAAAATGATATACCTTGTTAAGAGGTCATAAAACACCAAAGAACAGTATATCGTAGGGATTACCAGTGTGCTCTCCATTTCTGTTGTCTGTTTTTTGTAATAATTTCCACCAACTTGTCCTGTTTGTCACGGAGTTACCCAAACCCTTTATGTATCAGAAGATGAAGCTCTTGCACAGAGGGGGCAGTGTTTGTTTTGTAGGGAATGCTGGTTGGGACTGATGTGGGCTGACTCTCGTTTTAGTGTCTACTGCTGGAAAGAGACAAGCTCTAAATGGTGCTGTAATGCTATAGATGCTTAATGTCGTCCCATAAGAGGACCCTGTCTTCCTGTGTTAGTAGATATTTTAAAACCAACATATCTGCTTTTATTTCACCATTGCCCTCATTGTCTGTTAAAGGTTTTAAGAATCCTGTCTTTTTTTTTTTTTTATTCATCCCATCAGAACTGCTCCTTTTTTTTAAACCAGTTTGTTCTGAGTCATTGTAATTACAGTGTAATTGTCATCATGCTCTGGCTTTTTCAGCGGGGATGTAAAGAGAGTCATAATTACTGTGAAAAGCCTGCAAGTGAGCTCCTCTCACTTAGGATGGATTAACTGTATATAGTACATCACAGAGTGCCTTTATGAGCATGCTCACGCTCTGCAATCTCATCCCCTCCGTTCTTTCTGATGATTACCAGGGACTAGAATCATGGCCTATTTCTCACATTGTTTTTATTTTGCTTCTGTATAAGAGCGTGTCTGTTAGTTTCCCATGTGAAGAGCGTCGTCACACGTTAAATAAGCCTTTTTTCTATGTAAATATGTACATTTTTATATGTGTCTTCAGCCAGCGACCCGATTTGGATATTTAGTGCCCTGGTTCTGCTTAAGTGTGCCGAGTTGTACAGTTATCATTTTATGGTACTTTGGACAATAAAGACATGTAATAAAACTGAGCTACATTGCATTTGTTTTTTATTGCAGCAGCTGCTCCTCTAAAGTTTCTTAATGCCGCTCTATTTTAGAAGTCGATTCCTTCTCCTGTTCTTTTCACAACATGTTCCTACTCTTCTCTGTTCCTGCTTATTGACTTTCTGATCTGTGTGGTTTAGAAGACAAAATGTACCGTGTTGCTGGGCTGCTTCTTCACTGACACAAACTTTACAGATGATGGCACTGTTGGTCTACAGAACCATTTCCGTATGAGCTTCACTAGGAATGAGAAAAGAAAAATAGATTACATCCATCTAGAAGATGCCTTTTTCTAGGACATGTATCAACTCAGTCCACTATTGTTTCAGTGTTGATTGGTTTAATCGGATCTCAAGCATTCATCAAATGTTCGCAATGACTTTGAATAGCTGCATCTGTTTGATTAGAGATGGAAATAAACTCCACTGGGTGGTGATCTTGAGTGGCAGGATTGGATACCCCTGCCCTGCATATTCAAGAGATGAGTCTTCATGGCTTTATGAGTGAATGCAGTTGCGACTGGTCCACTTTGACGCATCTAGAATCTTTTAACAATGTGCTAAGCAAATAGATGAAAATACAGCCACATAAGAATTGTGAGGTGCTTTTGTGACCCTGCAGTAACATTAAGTCAGAAGGAGAGTGCTGTTCACACTCAGGCCAGGTCCATCTCTTAAATCCTCTTAATCCTAGATTCATCTTTTAGAGAGGCTCAGAATGAAGTGAAAGCAGGGCTTCAATTTAAACCTTGAGTTTATTTTTTCTTTTTTTAAACTCAAATGAGTGTCCTTCATATTATCGGTTCAGTTAATGGAAAAGGTACATTTGCCATTAACTTTTTTTTTTCCCCTTTTCCCACTCACCATGCACGCTTTTGATTTTTCAAATCCATACGCAATTCCTTACCGTGACAAATGGATGAATTTAGAAATCATTCCTCGGGCACTTGGTAATTACTGGTGAATGAGAGCCAATGCATCATTGGAACCTTGGACAAAGTGGTTGATGGGTTGTTAACCTTAGTTAAAAAAAAAAAAAAGAGAGAAAGGGGACTGTAGTCTGAGAGATCTAGCAAAGAACATAGGCTAAGACTCACTGTTGAAAATTCTTTGGTCAATTTGAGTTTAGGCCACAACTTTTACTCAAAGGTGCTTTTTTTTGACCGTCACCAATTTTGTGACCACTAACAAAGTCTTTGATCTTTGGAAATTTGTGGAATGGTGATAAAATTCCTCTCAAATACCTTCACAGTTGGGAATTGCACGGTGAAATATGATGATTATTGTTCTTTAGGAAATAAAAGGTGATTCTTCAGCAGCATCCCTCCAAAGAACCTGTTTTGGCACCCTTATTTTTGACTGTAGTGCAGTTTGGAAGCACATTTATGTGCTGAAAAATGAGCTCAGCTCCAGAATGTCAATGCGTATTACATTTCGCAAGCATCTGTGATATGACCTATCGCGCATGTGTCCCATGTTTGGTGAGGTTCCAACACAGTATTGTAATACAGCTGATTTGTAATTAATTCCGGGCCCATGTTTACTGGTGTGTGGTGACAAGGCACTGTGTGAATTTCCACATTTCACTCAAGTTATCTGTAGTTATTGAAGGTAGGCTTAAAGAAAAGCTCACACTGCTGTGATTCCAGTAATTAGGAGAGTGGCTCAAAAATAAAAATGCCAGTACCCAGAGGAAAAAAAATAGCTTGCAATTCATAGCTCATGTGCTGATGGCTAAAATTAACTGTCCTGTCCTGAGGAAAACATTTTTCTCAGAACCGAACAGTAGGGTTTCGTCACTATGCTTATAATCCTAAGGGTGGATTTTGTGACGAACATCTGCTTCAAATATTCTGTAAAAGGTATGCTCATGTTAGTTAATAGAATTCTCTACGTTCCCTTGTTGAAGCACCTGGAGGTACCAACTGCCTGAGCTCACAGACTCTCTTATTGGACTTGTAATTAATTCTGGAACACTGTGTTGGGGTCGGTTTAGAAAACTAGACAGCTTAATTGAAAAGAAAAGATCATTAGCATGTTCTGTTACAGAGTCCCCAGCAAGCCAGAAGGACCAAATCAAAACAAAAGGACCTTCATTAGTGGATGGCACATCTCGAAGACAGACGAATTTGCCGTGTTTTTCTAAACTCTGCCCTCGGTAATCGAAGCTGGCCACTCAATGTTTAATTTTTGAAGGCTTTTCCCAGAGGATCAAACACGGATCTGATGCTATGGTTCACATTTCTGATTAAACACAGACCTGGTTAGCTCAAACTCAGTCTCAGCTTGCATGGCTCTCTTTCATCAGCTCTGATGACTGTCCCATTGTGTACAGAGGTTCACGCTTCTCAGAACAGCTGTCATGATGAGGAGGCATCTGGCTCTCTGTTGGTGCCTGAGTGATTACAGCTCCACTGGATGGCCACTGCTCTACATGCCCTTTTTGTGGGAGTCTTGTTCCTTATAAAAAGGAAAAAAAATTAAATTGTGTATTTGCATTTCTTTAGGAACCAAATTGTCATGAGTGCTTTCCTGCTGGGGACTTAAAAACCTTTTAATAGAAGCATGTGCATGGTACATACTGAAGATGGTCCTTAAGTGACCCGACCCTTCCCCTACACTGTCCTTCACAGCCAGCCCATATTGAAAAACCATGGTAGCAGCATGAAAGTCAATAGTGTAAAAAAAAAAACAAAAAAAAAAACGACCCAATCTGTCTCCTGAAGATGCTGTGATTTTAATAAAAACCTGAATAGCCAGTTGCTGCAACACAATGATCTTTAGTCTGGAGGATTATGCAAATTATGCTGAATTTTTAAGATTTATTGTCAGCATTTCTGAAGTGTAAATAATGACGAGGATTCCTGAGCGACTGTGGATTGTGGACTGTTGCATAATAATCTGGAGATGAAGAAGTATGCCAGCTCAAACACTTGGTCGTGAAGTCTTTTAATGTGAACAGAAGCCCTTCAACCTGGCACGAACATTTTCAGTCTTGCATTGCTCTGCCTTCACAGTGTAGGCACCAAAGGAATAGAGAATACCTCTAGCCTAAGGGTGAAGACATTGAAGATTATCCTTGAATAGTCTGATCCTTCACTTCCACTGACCTAGAGCTCTATGAAAAGCCATGGAAACAACCATAATGCTGTTTGTACAGTAGTATCACCAAGCAACACAATCTGTTATGTGAAGACGGACTAGGCTATATGGCTGTAGGTTATTAAACTGGATTATAGACTGAACAATACATAACTGCATTTTTGCTGTATACACTGAATAAATATGTGATACTTTCCTATCTGCTTTCCTTGATTTCACCTGATCTGTAGACTATAGCATCTCTAAATATATTGGCACAGCTGACTAGCATGTGGATCCACAGGGCTACCAGAGCATGTAAAATCAAAGAAAGTCAATAAGAAAGAAACACCCATTCAACTATGTGGATGAAGCCTAAACACACTTTCGGGAGGATACTTGAGGGCAGGTTTTTTTGGCTATTTTAATGTTTGGAAGCTTAATCTCTTGCAGTCATATAACTTTGCTGATGGTCTTCAAATCAGATGGAAAGCATGGATAATTCAAGAGACAGAAACAACTTTTCAGATGAGGAGACCAACAAGCTACAAGCTAAAGTTAGCAAGCTAGACACCTTACTTGACCTGAGCTTTTTTTCTCTTGCTGAAAGGGCAATGAATATATCTCTGACTTCTGTTTTGTGTTGAATGTAGATGGTATTGCTGTTTTCTTTACAGTCTACTGGACAGTAATTCAGTTTTCAATCTCTTAATATTTTGGCTTGACATGCTGGCTGTACACTCAAAAATAATGTTACCTAATTTTTATGTCAAATTATTGAAAATATTAGCATCCTTTATCATAGTCACTAACCACTTTTTACAAAGTTTGACTTTTTTTGAGGAAACAGTAAAAAAACAGCACCTTTACACACTGAGAAGATGCTCGTATCAATAGTGAGAAGAAGGAAGGAGATTGTCAGTGGTGCTCC